CCCCCCCCCCGCCCCTCCACTTCTGTGGCTGCAGGATTTTGTGTAAATCGATTAGACATAAAAAGAGGCGCTTGAAAGCTTCCACCGCCCGTACACAGTCGATTTGTGCTACAGCCAAAGCGTAGTTAACCTAATGGCTTTCATAGCAATTCTGAAGACGAAAATGTCGGAGGAGTAGGTAGAGTGACGACGTTGACTACAAGTACCGCTCAGTTAATCACGGATTGAAACAGTTGTTCCTTTCCATACACGCCATCTTGCAAGAGATCCGTGCAGACGATTCGTCCTTCTAATGTACGCGAACTTCCACCTCTGTCAGGTTTTCCGACTCATAATTTGCGTGCTTTTCTTGAGTCTGTCGTTCGCGCTACATGCCCCACCCACCTATTTAATTTCCTGGTAGCTACAGACACGGGCAACGATGATGTTCAGCGAGGATTCATGGGCCTCAGGATCTGTGTTCAGCGCCAAAGAACAACATCTCTCGTAGTCTTGAGCAGCTGTTCGGTACGGAATCCACGAAGTTCTGTTTCGAATTCACGCACGAAAATGAAATTTCCAGAGTTTGTGGTGGGACCTCTCCCTTCCGCTCGTGATGTTCTGATGTTTCAGCCGATCTGTCTCGGAATTGTTAAGAGATTAAATCTTTCATCACGGACGGTGTTTAAGTTCGACGCAAACTTTATGTTTAACGCTTTGAATTTAGGTAATTTATCTTAATTTGTACCCCCCGTAAGAATCCGTTCTTCCGCTGGACCAGCACGAGGCAGAGAAGGAAGTTATTAACAGACGCTTTCAGCGCTTATGACGTAACAGGAATCTGCCCTGCGAGCCAGTTTAACTTAAGGGCGAAATTTATAAGTTTTTTAAAGGGGCAGTTCCTTGTAAGAAAATGTGGTACAAACTTCAGGTGTGTTCATTTGTGTGCGTTGCACGCACGCGCGCGATCGAGCACACTGGATCTTGCTGTGGGCCCAATTCTGGTATTATGGTCCGTGAAATTATTTTAAGTTTGCATTATAAAGCCAAGAGCGCTGTTAAAATGGATCTTGTGGTGTGAAGGCATGAAGTGGATTCATCTGGCTGAGGATGGAAACAAGCAATGGGCTTTTGTTAGCAATGCATTGAACCGTCAGGTTTCTTAAGATATCTTGAATGTAAAAGGCTTCTATAAACGGCATTGTGTGCTTTTTCGAACGCGAAGACTGATTCAAGACTGTATTTAACATGGGCGCTCTGTTGCGCCATTGCGTCTCCCTTTCCCAACTCTCAGTTTTTCGGGTTAGTTGAACGCCGACGGGAGATGGTTTAATTTGTCTCCGGTTTAATATTGTGAATCAAGTTTTTTAAACAGGCTGTACTTCCAAAGC